CCCCACCCGTCCTCACCCACAGCTGAGGGCAGCCCACCCCTGACCCGCCTTCACCCACAGCCAAGATGAGTTCACCCCCACCCTGTCCTTCACACAGCATATGGGACAACCCACCTTCACCCGTCTCCCATTCTGTTCACCCCTCGCTTGTCCTCGCCCAGACCCAGGAATATCCACCCTTCACCTGTCCCCTGCCCCATGCTCACCGTGCCCACTCTCGGAGTTCCTGCTTCGACAGTGAGTGTCCGCCACGGAGGGTCACCACAGCAGTGACCCGCTGCCCCCACGTCACATCAGGAACCCCAATCACAGCCACATCTGTGGGCAGAAGCACAGGTGAGTCCGCGGGGAGCTGCTTGGAGGAAGCTGACGTGCAGGGAGCAGAGCGTGTAGGCCCAGGTGCGGCTCGGAGCACCTGCCGCACCAGGGCTGCTGCCCTCCCAGGCCCGACTGGGCACCGGCATGCATGTGGGTGAGGCGGCCGCGAGAAGGCTGGGCAGGGCAGCTTCTGCCAGGCAGCACCTTCCTCTGCCACGGGGGCGAGCCGGGCTCAACGCCTCCAGGGCACCTGCAGCCCCAGACTGCCTGGACACGGGGCAGGCCGCTCACCAGTGATGCTGGGGTGGGCCAGCAGGTGGCGCTCGATCTCCAGGGCACTGAGCTTGTAGCCGCCACTCTTGATGATGTCCACTGACGTCCGCCCTCGGATCCAGTATCTGCCATCCTTGAACACGACTGTGTCACCTGGAGAAAGAGCGGGCTGTTGGTGGCAGTCCTCTGTGACACCTCTAACACTGGTGAACGTGTGGTCACCTGAGAGCAGACTGATAGGGAGGCTTCATTCCCAAACAGCGGGCTCCTGGGGTCACAAGAGTCTGACCCAGACTGTGCAGGGTCCTGGTAGCCCTGAGGGGATGGGCAACTACAGGTGCATGACATCTGCCCATCACTATGATGACAGCGTCTCTGCTCTGGGGTCATGCTGCAGGGTGGGGTCCTGTGGTCCTCGCTTCCCTGACCATGGCAATCTAGTCAGCAGGGCCTGGGAGTTGCCTAGACTGTCCGATGTCATGACTATTTGCTGGATGGTCTGGTGGTGTTTTCCGCGGTCCTCAGTGACATCCTCACTGACATCCTTAGTGAACACCACCACCAACATCCTTAGCAAGTGTCCTGATGTCCTCACATCTTCATCGACATCCTCACCACTGTCCTCGCCAATGTCCTGACCCATCCTCACCAATGTCCTCAGTGAGTGGGCTCACTGTCATCTTCATCGACATCCTCACCCACGTCCTCCCCAATGTCTTGACCACTGTCCTCAGTGAATGAGCTCACTGACATCTTCATTGATAGCCTCACTGATGTCCTCACCACTGTCCTCAGTGAGTGAGCTCACTGACATCTTCATCGACATGCTCACCACTGTCCTCAGCAACGTCCTTACTGATGTCCTCAGCGAGTGTGCTCACAGACATCTTCATCAACACCCTCCACAAGTGTCCTCAGTGACATCTTCACTGATGATGAGGCTTTGAAGCCAATGGTGGCCAGTCTGCTTTGGTGCTGTCCCCGGAGAGTCCTTCCATCCATTCACCTCAGATCCGTAAGCAAATCTTCCCAGTGGTCGGAAGAAGTCTATTCCTCCATATCTCAACAGCAGACGGTGGATGGGACTGTAGGGTTTTACAGGATCTGCAGACTCAGCTTCCTCCTGAATGGTGAGATGAATGTGGGCCAGAGCAGGGACAGGCTGGCCACCAGTGCACAGCTCTGTGCAGAGCTGGCTGTGTGCAAAGATGGACCAGGACACAGGCAGGAGGTCCTGAGTGTGTGTCCCCTCTGCAAGCAGAGATCGCCATGAAGCAGAGCTCTGGAGAGTGCTGTCCAGGGATCCCAAATAAGGTGCACAAACTCAGATTTCTCCAGGGCCCTTCTGACTCACGGGCAGACCTGGTCCACACACCTGCACTGCGACTCTCCACAGCACCTCCCCATGGGTGCTCGGGGCACACTGCACTCAACACGAACACCACCAACCATTTAAGAAGGGGAAGAAAATAAACCCACACACTCACGGTCAATTGATTCCTTGTTCGGTGCTAGTTCACACGTTGGACCAAGAACAGCTTTTGAACAGATGGTGCTGAGCAACTGATCATGCACAAGAGGGAAGCTGAACCCCTATCTCACACCATACGTGGAAATTAACTCAGAATGGATCAAGCACTTAAATGTAAGAACCAAAACCATGAAACTCTTGTTGTTGTTGTTGTTGCTAAGTGCCGTCAAGTCGTTTCCAACTCATAGCAACCCCATGCACAGCAGAACGAAACACTGCCCGATCCCGCGCCAGCCCCACAATCCCTGCTATACTTGAGCCCATCATTGCAGCCACCGTGTCAATCCATCTCGTTGAAGGACTCCCCCTCTTTCGTCGACCCTCCACCCTACCAAGCATGACATCCTTCTCCAGGGAATGGTCCCTTCTGACAACATGACCAAAATAGGTGAGACGAAGTCTGGCCATTCTTGCTTCCAAGGAGCATTCTGGCTGCACTTCCTCCAGGACAGATCTGTTAGTTCTTTTAGCAGTCCAAGGTACTTTCAGCATTCTTTGCCAGCACCACAACTCAAAAGCATCAACTCTTCTTCGGTCTTCCTTATTCATTTTCCAGCTCTTGAAACTCTTAGAGTGGGGTAATGCTTCAGGATCTAGTTTTAACAATGCATTTCAGAGATGACACGAAAAGTGTGCACAACAATAGTCTAAAAGTGGAAACCACCCAGTGTCCATCAATAGATGAGGGATAAACAAAATGTGATACATACACACAGTGGAAACTGCTCAGCCATAATGAGAAATCAAGTCCTCATACACATGACCACATAGATGAACAATGAAGACACTGTGCTGAGTGAAATAAGTCAGCCACAAAAAGGCAAATATTGTATGACTCCACTTCTGTGGAATACCCAGAGCAGGCCAATGCATAGGGACCATGTGTTAGTGGTTACTGAGGGGGGCGGGGTTCCAGAGCAGACTAATGCATACGGACCAACCAACGTTTGTTAGTGGTTACGGGGGTGTGTGTGTGTTTCCAGAACAGGCCAATGCATAGGGACCATGTTAGTGATTATTGAGGGGGGGGGTGTTCCAGAGCAGGCCAATGCATAGGGACCGTGGGTTAGTGGTTACTGGGGCAGGGGGTTCCAGAGCAGACTAATTAATGCATATGGACCAATGTTTGTTAGTGGTTACGGGTGTGTGTGTGTTTCCAGAACAGGCCAATGCATAGGGACCATGTTAGTGCTTATTGGGGGGGGGGTGTTCCAGAGCAGGCCAATGCATAGGGACCATGGGTTAGTGGTTACTGGGGCGGGGGGTTCCAGAGCAGACTAATGCATATGGACCAACGTTTGTTAGTGGTTACGGGGGTGGTGGTTTCCAGAACAGGCCATTGCATACGGACCAATGTTTGTTAGTGGTTATTGGGAGCGGGGGCGGAGAAGGAGGGATAGGACATCACTATTCAGGAAGCACTGAATTTCTGCTTACAATTATGAAATACACTGGGGATGGTGGCCCAACATAATTCATGTAACCAGTGTCACTGAATTGGATGTGGGAAAGTGCTGAACTGGCAAAATGCTGTTCTCTCTGTTTTTAAAATAATAAAAGCGGAAAGGGAGGGCCATCCGAGAATGTGGGACCTACACTCGCAGCACAGGAAGCTGCTTCCTGTCCAAGGTACATGTGAGC